TTAAGACAGGGACGGTGTCAAATGTATCGCACGACATTTTCAATAAAACTGTGTTGGGGGTTCGCACCGTGCAACATGTTTTAATAACAGAATTTGCTGGTTCACTTGGCGTTGGACGATGTTGATGGTGGCTTAACATCCGCGTTTGTTGAGTCAGTATTCACACTTCACAATATTGTTCATTTGTGGTATTTAAACTGTAGACCGGAGTATGTGTAAAGAAATGTTTTTTTGTTACATAAGAGAGAATGTGAGTACAATATACATAGTCGAAAAAACATGTGTGATAGAAGCAGGTGAAATTCTTCTCTTCTTAGTTTTATATACGAGTATTGAGTGAGTTAAAAGCTAAAGTCATAACGACAGTACATCAGCCATATCGTGACTAGAATACATTGTACCAGGGAGACTATACTCCCTGATTGTACCTTAGAATATGTCAAACCTGACAGGTTTAACGCCACTATACAGCAGTCCAGGTATATCAATCACCTTGTGTCATGGGAGGAATGACCACAGTGGCTCGTGTTGTCCATCTTTAAGTGAAACCGCCGACAGACAGACTATTTTTTCGGTCACTGCTTCAAAACATACAGTTGTTTTCTCTGAAAGGATCTGATATTTTTTTATGAACATAATGTCATAATCTCTGGGACGGTGGGATGGCCTAGTGGCTAAAACGTTCGCGCTTCACACCGAAGATCCGGGTTCGATTTCCCAAATGGGTACAATGAGTGAAGCCCATTTCTGATGTATGCGCCGTGATATTTCTGGGATGTTGTTTAAAGAAGCGTAAAACCCAACTCACTCACTCAATATCTATTCCGTGACCATCGGAATATATGTATTTTACAGCTGTATGAAGTCATTAACGTATTGAAATACTGCAGTCTACTGGACAATTGCAATTAATTTAGTCAAATGCCGTCAGAGTGAAAAACACTTACCTAATCTAATGCGTCCTATCAGCATACTATTACTACTGCAGGAAAGCAACAAGTGGGATATAATTCAAGGCTCCCATCTTCCAAACTTTGAACCTTGACTCAGTACTGCAACCATATGAAGTGGTGTTATAGTTCACCCGTGAAAATCCGGGTAGAGAATAGGTCTTCAGCAACCCATGCTTGCCATAAAAGGCGTCCATGCTTGTCGTAAGAGGCGACCCGTAAGAGGATCAGGTGGTCAGGTTCGCTGACTTGGTTGATGCATGTCATCGCATCCCAATTACTTAGATCGATGCTCATGATGTCAATCACTGGATTGTCTGGTCCAGACTCGATTATTCACAGACGGCCGTCATAAAGCTGAAATATTGCTTAGTACGGCGTTATACAAAAAACAAAGAAACAATCACGAAATATCACGATTATTAATTAACGAAAATACGAGGGTTGATAATTATATTCTACGTCTCACGTCGAAGGAATCGCGTGATAGCCAAATATTTTGCTGTGGACATTACAGGAGAAGAAGAAGAAAATGAAGTTATTAAGATGGCACGTGCTGTTCGGGTACAATTAGATGGAGTTTCTTCACAGTGGGTGGCCAGCAACACCCGGCCTCGTGGGCCTAGGAGACATACAGTTCTCATAAAAACTCAGTATAAAATATTATAAAACAACAGTTAAGATCACATAAGACAACATTTAACTAATTTATAACACAATCACACATGTATTATATATATTCCATTCACGCATTTATATGAGATAAAATTAGAACACACCAAACTATATATAACATATAAGTCAGTATAAGTCAGGATTAACCGATCATATTTTCTACAATACACTCTATACACCCAAAGTGGTAAATGTCTGAGACCTGCATCACTTCGGGCTTTCCTCCCACATTAAGCTGACACGCCGCGATATGACTGGAATACTGTTAAAAGCGGCGTTAAACCCAACTCACTCAGTCACTCATTCACAATACACCCAACATACTGACCCCACCCCCTCCATCACTCACCCCTGTGGACATTACATGTGGTTGGCATCCATCGACACAATAAACTGAACGCAATAGTCGGTGCGTGGAGCTCCAACAGAAGTACTCACACGTTCGCCATTTATATTTTCCCTTACCGGGAAAAAATGTTTTCAAATGAAGTGACTTTTTTGACAATGTTCAGCCCTTATATCATACTTTATCATCCCTAACTGGCGGCCGATTGAGTTGTTTATTCCTAATACAGGATATTTACCAACCCTAAACACACAAGCGTGATAACCTCTTTATCATATAATGTCATTCTTCAATTCTGTGCTTGAAAATCGCTTCCCCTCACTCACAAACATTGCCTTAACATTGCGAGTTTTCCTGGAATGCGCGCATTAATATTTATTACGTCACAGGGTAAGTGATGTGTCAGTCGGACAGTGACAGTAGCCAATATAGTTCCAAGTGAAATCTGTTTCTTTTGCAGTGGCGAAGCAACATATACGCAAAACAACAATTGTTTTTACTAGCCTTTCGCGGCAATCCATCGGTCTGTCCGCTAGAGTAACTGCCCTTTGTCGAAGGGAAGCTACTCTAACCCTAGTCTATGAGACGTCATAACGTTAAGAAGTTCAGTCAGATGTACACACAGCGCCAAAACGAAACAAGGTAACAATTCATACATAATTCGCCTAAATCCAACTATTTTTATTTGTGGAAAAGGTTTCAAGCCGCAGAGGTCTACAAGCACAGATATGGCTACTGATCCCGCTTGACTAAGCCTAGTGCCCTCGCAAAATTGTTTCGAAATTTATATCTCGAAAGTTGCCAAAACTTATAAAATGCCCTAGTTACGTCGCAGATCGACACTGATTTTTAGTATATAAGACTGTTTTTTTTATAATTATAGCAATTATCCCTGTAGTTTTTCCAGATTCAGGATGGTTAATTATGACTCGATCGCCGAATGACAAGTGCGACGCCATGTTTGTTTATAAACACTGAAAGTAGTCCCTACTTGACCTTTGATATTTGCATCTCTATCCGCATATGACCCCAACGGATATCGTTTTTATCCGTTGGCTTTATCCTGCCGAGAAACCTATACTACCCATTATATGATAAATTGTAGATATCACTGCAATGAAATTGCATCACAATGCTTTGCAGATCATTGTTACCATGACGTCACAATCAAATGACATCACTCATGGCTCTGCTACTGAAGCTGTTAGCGGTTCTTTTTACACTGCTTATTACTGTCTACAAACTGAAAATGTTGAAAGAATGTTTTTGGATGATAAATAAAATCTCACCCTCGTGTCTTTTGATATCAAATATATCAACACTCGGGTGAGATTCTCTATATGCCACTGGCACCTGTCCATCGCTAACCCACCTTCCGTTACATTAATACCACAGTTGTAAGTTTTGAGTAGCTGATTTGGTATGTTATCACTGGTTGTCAATGTTATTTCATAACATTTGTGAATCATTTGAAGGCACTACCGGCATTGTTGTGTAGGTTGTTCATGTATCATGGGAAAGGTGTAGTATTTATTACACGACAATTTATTGTGAGGGTTAGTGAGTGAGTGAGTATGTTTTTACGCCGCTTTTTGCAGTATTCAAGCAATATCACGGCGGGGGACACCGGAAAATGGGCTTCAAACATTGTACCCATTTCGGAAATCGAACCCGGGTCTTTGGCGTGACGGGTCACAGCTTTAACCACGAGGCTACCCCACGTTATGTAATCTGTATTTAACCTTTGGGTTTTTCAAACGTTTCATTCAGGCCAGTTTATGCCATTACATTCAAAGTCTTAGTCGTCCAATCAAATTGCACTTGTGAGCGAGAGAAAATCCTTGCAAATTACTGATAAGATAGATGGAGATGTTGACGTCACATCCTAAAAGTAGCTGTGGTAAGGAATGGGTTCCATGTTATTTATCCCAATTGAATTGATTTGTAATACATTACATGATCGAGGACGCCTTTAATTCAGAGAAAAACAACGCGTGTCATGAAGCAGCCGCTTGTAACGAAAACATATTCTATATTATATCATAATGGGTTATTCGATTTTGATGTATCTGATATGGGTACCATAGTTGTGTTTTAACCCTCACGTATGCAGTGTTTCAGCGCAACTGTTTTCAGCCTAGTAACGCTTTGATAACGTTTGTACTTTTTGGTCAATTTTGAAGTGTGAACTTTCTTTTGCCCTGCAGTTTATCTCTACTAATATTCACTCACACTGTATATTCTGTCATTTAAAATGGGTCGATGACATGTACTACTTGAATAATAATAATAATAATGATGATGATGATAAAAATAAAATAATAATAATAATAATAATAGTAGTCAAAATTTCAGTTTGGTAATGTTTCTTATGTTCGTCAGCTTTCATAAAAAGTTATGTTATATATGTCCATCATCCACAGCCTTAGCAATTGAATAGAACTTGAGGAGTACATTCCTTCAGCAGTTGTGGGTACATATATCAATTTAAAGAAACCTGCAAACTGGGCTTTTGCTACAAGCGGTGTTGTAATCTGCACATTCTTTCCATTCCATTAATCCAAGTGGAATTTGAAATGTGATTCTCAGCTCTCTTTCATTAAGAAACAAAAACAATTTCAGCCCTTAAGATTGAACAGACCATCACAGCCCCCCCCCCCCCCCCCCCCCTTACAGTTTACAGTTTCTAAACAGCATATAATCTTATCACCCACCCACTGATATGTGTTATGTTTGCCTGGGGAATAATGTTCATGTATAATGCTATTAACACCTGATTTCTGACGATAACATAATTATATTAAAATATTTTGGATGATATCGCGTGGATATGTAGAAATTGAATCATTATTTCCTTAATTGATATAAAAATCTTAACTTTTGGTGTAAATAGTAATTGTCAGGTTACGTAAGAGGTGTGTTCCGTTGCCTTCACGTGTGGGATAGATATTCCAGGAGCGCACATTTTACTAACTAAACTCCATACAGGGCAAGTTGTTGTTTTCACTGCAAGGAGTAACAACAAAGGGCGATAACTCTAAATTTGTACAGGAAAATCAAACGTGCTGAAGAGAAAAACAAAGATTCGAAGATTTGGATCAACTTATAAGGATGAAGCTGGTTAGTATATCCCCAGTGGCAATAACCAGCCCTAGTTAAAATAAATTAAATATAGTTTAGAACGTTGTTCCTGTTTGGCTTTTTAGCACATTGAGTTTAGCAAAAGAAAGTTTGAAAAATATATGCATAAGCTCGACATTTTTCTACTGCAGACTTGCCTCAGCAGCAACCCTAGCAAGCCATGCTTCGTTCTCTACTTCAAGGGGGTCAGTCTCATGCTGGACTGTGGCCTTGACATTGGACAGATACAGCACTTCCTCCCCTTGACAGTCATACCGGGGTAAGCATTGGGATAAATAACACGAATCGGAACCACAGGAACTCCTTATTGGTCAGTAAATAAAATATGCACCCCCTTAATGTTAGTTTCTACTTACATATAGGGGATACATATTTCATTTACTGACCAATGACGAGTTCCTGTGATCGGGCATGACACAACAATTGAAACCAGACATATGCCTGAAAGTTATTATCATTATGTTAACATGTACGGAGTTACAAAAAATGACTGAAATGATTCAACGATTTCATCATGGTTTTGTGCATCTTTCTGAGGCAAGGGAGTTAACAGACTTTAATTGTCATGTTCCACACTTGCCTGAAGTAGGGTGGAATTTACGAGTTATATTTTGGCTGGACTAATGAGTCTATGTATATCACTGTATATTGTCCAATCAAAATCCTATAAGCAAATGAACATCGGGTTCATACCGGTAAATAACAGGATTTGCAGAGCATGTGTACCGTCAACTGGGCGTTGACAGATAGCTTCCTAATGTTTTCATGTTCTAAATCAACGTGCTGAAGAAATTTGATGCACTTCGTGAGATAATGCCCATTTTATTACAATAAAGATTTTGATTATCGATCAGATCGTCTTGACTTGGTGCTGCCATTTTGTTTAAAGCAATGCAAGTGATATGAGCGATGGAATCTGATTGGTCAAGTGCGGGGACATAGAAGGGACATAACTGGTAATAGCCACTGGTGGCACCAAGATTGAGCCCAGAAATGTCTGCCTAGTTCGGCAAGGGAGGAAACTGGACTTTTAAAGTCAGTTAACTCCCTTGCCTCGGAAAGATGGGTTTTACAAATCTGTTGCTGATCATGCTGATGTGTATTTCTCTCACTTTGTAGTAATGGGTTGTTGTGTTGTAACATTTCTGTTCATTTGTTTACTGTCAGTTCTTCTCAATGTCACGACTAAGACCATTGATCAACCGTTCGACTTCTAGGCTTGACCTGTTGGTATGATCTCAAAGAAAGCATACACAAGTTCTATATTATTTCCAACATTTTAATACATTTTAATACGTTTATTTTCTCTCAACTTCCAGGTGCCAAATCTCCAAAGTTCGGACCTGGAATCCTGGAGTTGACAGAAAGTCGAAGCTCGGGGAGGATGTGGTATGTCCTAAATATATATAATATACAGACATGGCTGTAATGATATTTCAAGTAGATGACTAAAGTATTTTGTTGAATACATCACAGGTTCTTGTATTTACATATATGTATTGATTCATGTTAATATCATTATACTGATAACTAATGCTATGACTTTGAAGACATGGTAGAGGTGGCTTGTATTTCACTAATAACTAGGGCTGGGACGATTCATCAACTGTGCGATACGATACAAATCACAATACCTTGCTCACAATCCGATATGTATCATGATACTTGTGCGTGCTCTTTTCACTACTGGGGGCACCGGTGGCCCAGTCGTCTCAGGCGCCGCAATTCGCTGTAAAGAGAAACCTATGATCATGGGTTCGAATCCCAGTTCGCCCCGATTATGTTTCAAGGTTTGTCTGCACCATACCCGTGCTTGTGTGTTTCACCGAAGTGGTAAACGTCTAAGACCTGCATCACTTGGGGCTTTCCTCCCACATTAAGCTGACACGCCGTGATATAACTGTTAAAAGCGGCATTTAACATAACTAACTCACTCTTTTCACTACTTATTTTCCTTTGTAATTAGTGTTTGGTGTTTCATTTATTAAAGAATACATTTAAGGTAAGAATCGATGCTTTGTGCTTTGAGTGTGACATGTATCAAGAAGTACAAAATTGTGATCCACTAATGCACCGATGTATCGTCCCACTATGACTAATAACAGTACCAGTAAACAAGAGAAAGCGGCTTTGATTTTTAGTTTTACATTATTGCATTGACTTCAGTGTAAAAATAAACATTGATTAAATTTGGAAAATAAGAACTTGAAAAACTTACAATTTGGAACGAATGATGACATTGTCCCAAGTTGTCCGTCAAGGGTACTTAATTATGGATTTTTGAAATAATTGTATATCACTGGCACATGGATGTAACCATGGTAACACCCTTGTCATATACATGTATTTGTAGGTCCCGGGTCATCAGTATTCTCTTTTTTGCATCTTTACATAACTTCTCCAGTAGCTCAGTGAAAAGTCTGAGTGTGTTTAGTTTTATCAACTTTTTTATTTTCAGAATTGTCTGTACAGGAATTGTTGTGCTGTGCCACTTGACTGGTATGTGACTCACCAGGGCTTGCAAATATTCTCTCTATGCATTGTTACCATGTTGAGTCCATGTTCTTCTGTCTAGTGCCAAGAGCTTAAGGAGTGCGGCGGTCGTGTGTTTGTGGACGGAACACCACAGTTTCTCACTCCAGAGGTGAGTTAACAAGTGGCTGTAGGACCTTCTGACGCAGACTGGCTCTTGTTAGCTTCTGTGTAGCATAATGTTTGTAATGTGTACAGATAAATTAAAGTTGCTCTCTTTCTCAATGAACTGGGGGGCACGGGTGTCCCAATCATCTAAGGCGCCGCGATTCGCTATGCAGAGTTGCGTCCCTTGGACACGCCAGAAACCTATGATTGTGGGTTCGAATCCCGGTTCGTCCCGATTATGTTTCTAGGTTTGTCAGCACCATACCCGTGCTCGTGGGTTTTACCGAAGTGGTAAACGTCTGAGACCTGCATCACTTGGGGCTTTCCTCCCACATTAAGCTGACACGCCGTGATATAACTGGAATACTGTTAAAAGCGGCGTTAAACCCAACTCGCTCACTCACTCTCAATGAACTGATTTTAGTCCAATACCGTAATGCTATGTTACAGTTGTTCAGCATCAGTATATATGAAGATGATGGTAATTGCAATCCTTATTGATGTTTTCTCAAATCATATAGAACTGAAGTAACAAATATATAGAAGAATTATCTTGAATCTTTAACATGTTTAATGCAGGCGTCTGGTTATTTCCAGGTGAACATGGTCGATCTCACCCAGATTGATGCCATTCTCATCTCCAACTACTCCTGTATGTTGGCTCTGCCCTACATCACCGAGTACACCGGGTTCCGGGGGGTGGTCTACTGCACAGAACCCACGCTGCAGATAGGAAGGTAGAGTAGATGCAGTAACCATGGTTACAGAGTACACTGGGTTCCGGGGGGTGGTTTACTGCACAGAACCCACGCTGCAGATAGGAAGGTAGAGTAGATGCAGTAACCATGGTTACAGAGTACACTGGGTTCAGGGGGGTGGTCTACTGCACAGAACCCACGCTGCAGATAGGAAGGTAGAGTAGATGCACTTACCATGGTTACAGAGTACACCGGGTTCTGGTAGGGGGTGGGGGTGGTCTACTGTAGGAGGAAAACTAAAGTTACCCAAAAGTAACAATGACATGCAAAAAGAGTCTAAATCATTAAGTGGTTCCTGACATGGCTAGGGATGCAACTCTGCATGACAACTTGCAGTCACCCATGCCAGAGATGTTGATGATCAGTATCATTTCATTTGAGGTATCAATACAATCACCGATCAAGTGTGGTATGCATGTCAACTGGTTATGTTTTGTGTCGATGATGTATTGCCAATGTTTGTGTTGCTGTGATGTTGCAGACAGTACATGGAGGAGTTGTTGACATATGTGGAGAGGAACCCCAGAGCTCACATTGCCACTCGCTGGAAACAGCAGGAAATACTCAAGTAGGCTTTCAAGGAAATCTAATCAAATAAATAAGTAATTGCCATTTGCTCTTATTGAAAACAAAAAGAGCAATGTGGAATTGTATGAAGTCAGTTGTATGCTTAGGTTTGAGTGTTAAGGTGGATGTGCATTGAGGTGAATGTGATGTCAGGATAAATCTGTCAAGGTAAATGTGAATCAAGGTGGATGTACATTGGGGTGAACATGAGGTCAAGGTGAATGTGAGGTCAAGATAAATCTGTCAAGGTAAATGTGAGGTCAAGGAAAATGTGAGACAAGGTGAATGTGAGGTCAAGATAAATCTGTGTCAAGCTAAATGTGACTCAAGGTGAATGTGAGGTCAAGGAAAATGTGAGACAAGGTGAATGTGAGGTCAAGGTTAATCTGTGTTAAAGTAGATGTGTGTGAAGTTGGTGCTATTTTACAGGAACCTGCCGGCCCCGCTGAAGGAGGCGGTCAAGCCGAGTGTGTGGAAACAGTGCTACACCCTGCAGGATGTCGAGTCCAGCCTCTCCCGGGTGCAGATTGTCGGCTTTAACCAGAAAACTGTGAGTTTCTTGTACAGGAGTCAGTCTCAGCAACATCCTGATCATTGTCCAGAGTCTACACTCTTTGCTCTCTAGAGAAAAGAAATCCCACCCTGAGCATGTTAAAGAAAAGTCATTAAAAAATGTTTCTCTCATCTCGCACACATATACATTTGTTAATATTTCTAAAATGTCAGTATGTATTGTTTGTGTATATTGTCGGTATACATTGTTGGTGTATATTGTCTGTATTGTGCTGCAGGATATATTAGGTATTCATTGTTGGTGTATGTTGTCTGTATTGTGCTGCAGGATATATTTGGCATACATTGTTGGTGTATTGTCTGTATTGTGCTACAGGATATATTCAGCATACATTGTTGGTGTATTGTCTGTATTGTGCTGCAGGATATATTCAGCATACATTGTTGGTGTATTGTCTGTATTGTGCTACAGGATATATTCAGCATACATTGTTGGTGTATGTTGTCTGTATTGTGCTGCAGGATATATTTGGCATACATTGTTGGTGTATGTTGTCTGTATTGTGCTGCAGGATATATTCGGTATACATTGTTGGTGTATTTTCTGTATTGTGCTGCAGGATATATTCGGTATACATTGTTGGTGTATATTGTCTGTATTGTGCTGCAGGATATATTTGGCATACATTGTTGGTGTATTGTCTGTATTGTGCTGCAGGATATATTCAGCATATATTGTTGGTGTATTTTCTGTATTGTGCTGCAGGATATGTTTGGTATACATTGTTGGTATATTGTCTGTATTGTGCTGCAGGATATATTCGGTATACATTGTTGGTGTATTGTCTGTATTGTGCTGCAGGATATAATCGGTACACATTGTTGGTGTATATTGTCTGTATTGTGCTGCAGGATATGTTTGGTATACATTGTTGGTATATTGTCTATATTGTGCTGTAGGATATATTCGGTATACATTGTTGGTGTATATTGTCTGTATTGCGCTGCAGGATATATTTGGCATACATTGTTGGTGTATATTGTCTGTATTGTGCTGCAGGATATATTCGGCATACATAGTTGGTGTATATTGTCTGTATTGTGCTGCAGGATATAATTGATATACATTGTTGGTGTATATTGTCTGTATTGCGCTGCAGGATATATTTGGCATACATTGTTGGTGTATATTGTCTGTATTGTGCTGCAGGATATATTCGGTATACATTGTTGGTGTATATTGTCTGTATTGTGCTGCAGGATATATTCAGTATACATTGTTGGTGTGTTGTCTGTATTGTGCTGCAGGATATATTTGGTATACATTGTTGATGTATTGTCTGTATTGTGCTGCAGGATATATTTGGTATTCATTGTAGTGGTTTGTAACAATAAGTGAAGAAAGGTACTTCGTGTTAAAAAGCCTTTTATTCAGACCATGTGGTCAGCATGGTGGCCATCTTGTTACAACTCAAGGGAGAGCACTCTCGTTGGCTTAGCTGCTAGATACTGCTTGGGTATGACTACTTAATATAGATTAATGGACTTCTGTTGACATTAACACTTATCATTACATCTCCCTTTCTAAGTTGAAATTAACATCATATAAACTCTGAATTAAACTGGTAACAATGTAAACACTTTAAAGCCTGGCTAAGCACATCAACAATAGATAAGTTTGATTTCTTTTCTTTTCTTTTTTCTTTTTCAATGAGTACTTAAAATGACACATCATGTCAAACTGATCATGTTCAGTTCCTTCCTGATGAGTGTCTCTTCTTGTCATTCATTTTGCACATTTATGATGGCTTGCCATTCTCTAACTTTAGAACTTAAACTAAACTCAATTAAAGTCTCTGACAAAAACCTTGTCTACTGAAAATCAACTTCCGAAACATGAAACTTTTACAGTTCAGAATTCACACATCACTCGGTTTCGATCAGACGAGATGGCTTGTTGATGACTCGGCCAGATCGTGTTGTAGTACCACTCTGCTGTGCTTCGGGAGTTGTCAAGCAAGTTGTAGTTGTTGTTGTTGCAGGCTGGTTATTTGTAATGCGAGGTGTGTTGTCATGAGGAGTAAGGAGGAGATCACGGCGATTTCGTCTCAGTCTTCCACCTCCCTCTGTTTGCACAAGGTAGGATCTTGGTGCTACCTTTTGCACTATTTTACCTTTTGTTTTCCAGTCATTACTTGTCTCTCGATACACTCTCACACTGCTACCTGGTTCCAACTGGGGTAGAGGTAGAGGAGATGCTTTCTGGTCGAAGTGGTACTTTTGTTCCTCTTTCGAAACCAGCTTGTGTTTGATGACTTGATCTGGATCAGGTGTACTTGACTGAAGGAGATCTTTCTTCAGTGGGAGATTTGACCTGATTGTCCGATTCATTAACAGCTGTGACGGAGAGAAACTACCAGCTAGAGGTGTGGTACGATAGGCGAGCAGTCCTAGATGAGGATCTTCCCCACTGTCAATGCACTTTTTCATGATGTTTTTGACAGTCTGGACTGTGCGTTCTGCAAGACCGTTTGACTGGGGGTATTTAGGACTAGATGTAGAGTGTTTAAAGTCCCATTCAACAGCAAAATCTGCAAATTCTGCACTCGCATAACATGGTCCGTTATCACTGAACAGTTCAACTGGTGAACCATGTCTGGCAAATATGGATCGTAGTGCTTTGATGACGGCTTGGCTGGACTGATTTGGCAAAGCAATGACTTCTGGGAAGTTAGAGTATGCGTCCACAACTAATAGATAGTCTTTTGAGTAGAGTTCAAAAAGATCAGTGGAGACATGCTGCCATGGCTGAGTAGCTACTGGGTGAGGTGATAGTGGTTCAGGTTGATGACGATGACGATAGTTCAAGCACGTCTCACATCCACTTACCATGACATCTACGTCATGATTCATTCGAGGCCAGAATAGAACTTCTCTAGCTCTTTGCTTGCATTTTTCTTGACCCAGATGTCCTGCATGTATTTTCTGCAACATCAGTTTCCGCATACCTTTGGGCACGACGATGCGGTTGCCTTTGAAGACTACTCCGTCAATACATGAAAGTTCATCTCGATAATTCCAGAAATCATCCAGGTTTCTTGGGCACTGTGAATGTTCATGAGGCCAACCTGTCAAGATGATTGCTTTTAGAGCTGTCATTTCTGGATCTATGATGCTTTCTGCTCTGATCTGTGCGAATCTGTCGGTTGACACCTGCACTGTTGACAAGATACTGTCAACATACATTTGTACATCTGCTTCTGTTGTACTGGTGGGTGAATGATCAATAGGAAAGTTCCTTGACAGGGTATCTGCTGCATACATCTCTCGACCAGGAGTGTACATTACCTCCATGTCATATTTCTGCATGCGAAGACGGAAACGTTGAATGCGTGGAGGACAGTCATTCAGAGCTTTCTTGAAGATGGGAATCAGTGGTTTATGGTCAGTTTCTGCAAGAAACTTTCTCCCATACACATATTGATGGAACCGTTCAGCTCCAAAACACATTGCTAGTGCTTCCTTCTCGATCTGTGCGTAGTGAGTCTCTGCAGTGGTCATCGCCCTTGACGCATATGCTACTGGCATCCATGCATCTTCATGTTGTTGCAGCAGTATGGCACCAAGTCCATGTTTTGATGCATCTGTAGACACTTTGATGGGTTTCTTGGTATCATAGAATTGAAGAACCGGTCTTTGTGAGATGAGGTTTCGAAGTTCTTCCCATGATTTGTCCTGTTCATGAGACCAAGACCAATGACTGTCTTTTTCCAACAGCTGCCTAAGTGGTGCTGATTTTGTTGAGAGGTCTTGAATGTACCTTCCAAGGTAATTAACCATCCCAAGGAACCGTTGCAGTTCCTTCTTTTCTGTGGGTTTCTGAAGATCCATGATGGCTTTCACCTTGTTAGGGTCTGGTTTGAGTCCATCAACAGAAATTCTATCTCCCAGGAAGGTAAGCTCTGTGACACCCACTTCACATTTCTCTCTATTCAATTTCAGACCACTGTCTCTACACTTCTGAAGTACTGCTTTCAGTCGCTCGTTGTGCTCTCTGGTGTCTTTACCAAAGATGATCATGTCATCCATACTGGTGTCTACACCTCTAATGTGCTCAAAAAGTTGATGTATGGTTCGATGATACACTTCTGGCGCACTTGAAATACCAAATGGGAGTCTGAGATAATGGTATCTCCCAAATGGTGTGTTGAATGCTGTCAGCATTGAGCTGGCATGATCTAGCTTCATTTGCCAAAAGCCTGAGGAGGCGTCCAGCTTGCTAAACACTTTAGCACCAGCAAACTGCGACATCACTTCTTCACGAGTTGGGAGTTTATAGTGTTCTCTCTGAACTGCTAGATTCAAATTGCGAGGATCTAGGCATATTCTCAATTTCCCTTGTTTCTTGTGCACAATCACCATCGAACTAACCCATTCAGTAGGTTCTGTAACCTCTGTGATCACTCCAAGTGATTTCATTCTGTTCAACTCTTCTTTAAGTTGATCATGGAGAGCAAATGGCACTTTTCTACAAGCTTCTATGACTGGTGTGACTCCTTTGTCCACTTTTATGGTATGTTCACCAGGCAAGCATCCAAGCCCTGTGAATACATCTTGATATTCACTTAGAATATCTTCTGGCTTTGTAGAATTCTGGCTGTTCAAATTTTTCTCATCAACATTGATTTCGTAAACTCTACGAACCAAGTTCAGTCTCTCACAATCCTCCACACCAAGGATACATCTATTGTTGTCTGGCGTTACCATGAATACAGTCTTGTATGGTTTACCTTTGTAGGTGACTGTGAGCTCTGCCTGTCCTTCAACAGGTATGTCAATTCCACCATAAGCTTTTAGGCTCATCTTAGGAGGTTCTAATGGTGGCTGGTATTTTAGTTTATTCCACTGTGACAAGCTGATGAGGTTCATGTCTGAGCCGCTGTCAAGTTTGAGGGGTACCTGTGTTCCATTTATGTCAAGTGACATCATCCAAGCCTTTGAGTTAGAGACCCTCTGACTGTCTGTATCCACAACATC